CCAGGTTTTACGAAGGAGGACTTAACTAGCCTATGAGATATGTAATCATAAGCTAAGTTCCCTCTAAGATGCGTACCCCCCGGCCACACAGCTTCCTATTAAGGCTCCTGCTGCGGCACTGAGTCTCTGCACGAGAAAGTCCTGAAGCTGCGGAGGACAACGAAGAGTCCCCCTCTCCGCCAGTCCCAGCACCAAGCTGCTGCAGCAGGCGGGAAAGGGCCCCTCCTAATTATCCCCAGCAGGGAGCTGCCTGGGTAAGCCCAAGCCCCAACACTCTGCCCCACTCTGAGTGTCCCCCAGCCCTGAGCACCCTCCTGTATCCCAACACCCCTAGCCCAGAGCCCACATCCCACCTGCACCCAACCCACACCCAGAGCTCACACATCCTCCTACAGTCCAAGCCCCTCATCCACAACCCACACCAAAGCCTGCAACCCCAGCCAGAGCCTTTGCACGCCAACCCTCTATCCCAGCCCCATCCTAGGGCCATGTTAATTTTGTTATGTGCACCAATATGAAAGTCACGTGTTGCATATCACCTCCACATTGGTGCACATAAGAAAATTAATTCCACTCAATGGTGGGAAAAGTTAAAGGGAACACTGATCATAGATGCTGGATATTAATGGTCCAAACACAGCCTGGAAAGAAGGAGCCAATGATGAGGGAAAAGAAACTTCCCTCATACAGATACACAGTTCTGAGCAGAGAACTTTGCTCCAGAACGTAATTTAACAGTGTAGTAAATTTAGGAATGAAACAAAGCGATCATAAGGCATTCATATGAATAATAGGCAGCCGATTGCAGATATATAAATGCAAAGTCCCAGTGGCATACAGCTGCAGAACAGAGGCTCAGAATGCAACCATCTTTTAGCTGCTACCAAGCTGAAGTCATGCAGCTCTGCAAACAGATCAGACACTACTGAGTATATATATCCCCACTTACTGTGCTAGGACAGGAGCAATATACCTATTGGTTCTTAACTGTACCATGAACAAATATTAAATTATTTAAAACAGTACACTGAGCCCTAATTTCTTAAACTATCCACAAAGTAATAGTGTGTGTGTGTGTGTCTCTCTCACACACACACACACACACACACACACACACCACAGCAAAGGCTGCAGTGTAGTCTGAGCAACATGCAAGTCTGTCATTAAGACATAAACCAAAAAGTAATTTACAACTAACACTAGGAGTCAGGTTTCCAGCCTAATGTGCTTTAGCACACTAACAGGTGGGGAGTGCTCAGTCCACCCTCTGGAAGTCTGCCCTCTCTCTAGTGAAGATAGCACACAGTTCACTGCCTTCTTTAGCAAGGTGGGAAGGGAAAGGATGGCAAACAAGGAGATAGAAAACGGATAGAGCAGGGTAACTGAGGAGCAGTGACATCAGGTGGCATTTTAAAAAATGTGGTCAAGTAACAAGAACAAGAGGCAGCAAGAAACTAACTGGTCATGGAGCCAATCCACAGTTTATATTCTGGAAATGACCAAAGATTAAATGTATTCTGAATGAATGAGTCATATCACTTCCACTGGCAGTTTCCTAAGAAAACATTTATATGGACAATAGCAACAAGGGCTAGAAAGGGATTTTATTAAAAAATAGTTATTCCAATGGAAAAAACAAGGTAACAAGATACACTAGAACACTGTTAAAAATACCACTAGGCATATAACAAATCAACTAAAGAAAGGGCTTCATTATGAAGATGTCACTTCATCCTAACCCCAGCTCTACAGCACACAAGTCACATATATAAGAGAGCACCCCATTAACTTCTCAGTCTCCACATTAATAACAGAGTGCCTATTCCTTTGTTTATTGATAATGAATCCTTAATGATGGTATTTAGATGTCAGACTTAAGAAAAAGTTTCTCCCATATTTATATTCATGGTGCCCTTCCTTTCAAAACCCAACAATTAGCAACTGTCTTATTTAAGAGCTAAGCTATCAAATACACTGAGCTCACTAAACAAAAAAAATCAAATTGTGTACAAGAACATCACTCATGAGTTCTGGTTTAGGAATAAAAAAAACTGGATTACAGATGCTAATTGGAATGGGTTTTGTTTATTTAACTGACTTTCCTCTTGGTGGTCCCCCAAAAGAAGTTTGTGTTAGTGATACAGTCTCAGCAGCAGAAATGTAGAGAACAGGAGCTGCAAGACAGTAACTTAATTTAATATCATGGCCAACCATTACTTGTTTCCAAAGAAAATTAGGTATACATCTAAACTGCAGTATTTATTATATATGTATTAAAAAAAAAACAGTGAAGAGAACAAGTAATGCATCAAAATCTACTGTATATTTGAAAGAGTTTGTCTGCCCATCCATTTTTTTCAAGAACTCTTCCTGAACAATAAGAGCTAGGACCCTAAAATTCGATATAAAGCTTCCTCTTATAACTTTAAGCAAGGTAAGGGGGGTTTGATTGTGGTAAGAAAATGGGTTGTGCCTGCAATGGGATAGCTTCTCAGAAAGCCATACAGAAGAGAGACAGAATCACGAGGCAGGTAAAAGGGGTTGGCTGAGGATACGGCACGCCTCCCTCCAGAATTGCCCTAGTCCTAAACCTTCCACCCTACAGATGTTCTTCAAGGGCAGGGGGTGGCAGGGCGGGCTGAAGCTTCCCCTCTCCCTGATTCCTATGGGAACATTGCTGGCTATTCCCCTAGGGGAAAGTGCATAGTTTGCTGCATTCCTCACTCTGGCTGGGGTGCGCGGGGGACAGATGAACCTAGACCTCCCCCAGCCAAGGGATATGCACCTTTTCCCCAACTGTGCCCACTGGAGCTGCAGTGGCCAGGGTGAGGTGCTTCTCATCTGGCCCCAAGTTGCTGCAGTGAGAGAGGATGGGGTAGTCCTCTCTGCCCAGAGCAGCCTGAATACAGACCCAGTAGAGATGTGAGGGAGTAACCAGTTACCCAGTAAGCATTGTTTTACTGGCATGCTTACTAGGGTAACCGGTTAATCTGCAGTGTGGAGGTCCCTGCCCGGCCTGGCTAGAGCAGCCTCCCATGGCATGCTGTGGGCAGGGAGCTGCTCTAGCACATCTGGGCCCACAGTGCCACAGGCAGGGGCTGCCTCAGTGGTACCCTGCTGGTGGCGTTGATGCGGCAAGCCTGTTAAACTGGTTAACATTTTTAAACAGGATTTTACATCCCTATTGCTCAGCCCCACCACAGAGCAAGGATTTAAATGAAGCATGCACACTTTCATTTTATTTTCCATAAAACAAAAATTGATTTAAGGACCCAAACAACACTGGGTAAATCTTCTAGTTTTTATGTATGTACACATGCATGTGGATGTTTAAATAAAAATGGCTTAGTTTCAAGTACTTTCTCTTTCTTGTGGATTTCACAGCAGCTGATGAAGATCTCTCCTAGAGCCTAATGCTGGAAACTGTCTCTGATCTTCCATTCCCCTTAGGAATTACAAAGGCATAAATGCTCTGTCTTTTCTTACAGCTTAAGTTTTCAACTATTAATTAGTTATCTTTGAGTAGTTGTCTTTTGGCTGAACTTTTGGTTCTGCAATTTGAGGTTGCTTATGTACATGCTGAGAAGGAAGAGAAACCCAAACACTGAATTTTGCAACTCCTTAAGCTCAGCAACAATTGCTGAGTCCATACATC